TTTTTGTCAGCTTGGGTGTGGAGACGTGCACACACATTGATGAAGATGCTTCCTTTAGGCGTCTGGGGGCGTAGAACTTTTCTGACGGGGCTGTGTCTGCCACCATTGCAGACATGTCTAGTCCATGACAGTGTGTTTACTATTGTGTATTTATATAGTGTAAATGTAGTTCAGAGACATTTTAACTGGGACGAATTAGCCCCTTACTCTCCTCCACCTCTTCATGAAGTTGATCACCTCCAGACTCACGTTTCTTGCAATTGCCTTCTACAAGATAAAAATGCAATTGAAAGTTTTCCCCTTTCAGGAATTATTTATGATATTTACATTTTTTTAGAAATCCATAAAAGTTATTGTCTTATCATGTACTGTGATATAATGTAGGCAATAAGCCCCCTGAAAATGAACTGAGCGCCAGTCAGCGCTAACAATAGCGTTAAGACTACTGCTTACGTACAGATGTTAATCACAGAACATGCTCGGGCGTTTAAGGACGTACCTTGGTTGCGTTGGCGACCTTTCTCATGGACAAGTAACACTCTTAAAAGGGTTGAGGCTGACAATCTTAAAGTCGCAGTGTGTAGTTTTCCGCAGTACATACATACATTTCAGGATAGTTTACAGCACGTCTTTCTAACCGTCACTACTTAGAAAAACATTACAGTAAATGATACCTGTGGAGCAGAATGCAACCTTCGCAAGACTTCTCGGACTTTGGCGGTTCTTCAGGTAATTCCATAAGAGAATGCAATGCCACTTTAAGTTTTCAGGCACGGTAGTCTCCGGATCTGCTTGGGGGACTGCGCCTGCCGATGATGTCTTCACACTACAAAAATACTGCTCGGTCAAAATATATTAGATCTCTTTTTCAAATATATTCTTTTATGTTTATGTTTATTTATTTGGCAGATGCTTTTATCCAAAGCGACTTATAATTTATAACATATAGGGCATGTTGTGATCTGTGGGGGAAACAGGAGTACACGGAGGAAGCCCACGCATGCATAGGGAGAACACGCAAATCCACGCAGAAAGGCCACAGCCAAGTTTTGAACCTGCAACCTTCGTGCTGCGAGGCAACAGTGCTAACAACTGCACCACCATGCAGCCCTTTTATGTATGTTTTGGAAAGACTTTAGCAGTTTTGTTATTAAATTAATCTTTCTTACCGCCTAAACATTTCTGAACAAGGCAACGTTACTTCCAAAAAAAGTTGCATGTTCAGCCAGTGATTTGGTGTGATGTCATCGACAAGCACATGACCTCAAGTTGGCCAGAAGTAAACATGACGTCCTCCAAAGAGGCTGGACCCGCACCTTATGTACTTTAGACCTGATTAAATGAGTAATGTTTGAGGTAGCAAGAGGGTTAAGGTTAGGATGATGGTGAAAGGAAGGTTATAAATAGCAAAACGTTAAGGTTTAGGTGCAGTTAAATGAGCTGGTTCGGTGCCGCAGCAGTGGACATCCCATCGCGTCAGTTTTACGCTGCATTAGGATCTGCAGTCAGAAAGGAGAAAAACCCCTTTTCGTACATAAGTGATGAAAAAGGGCACTTTTGGCGTCAGAGGTGTGAGGAGGAGGGTGGCTGACCAAGCTTTAGTTTTTGACGTGCTGGGAGTGAGATTGTGTTGCCGCCAATTTTTTTCAACAGCTGGACATCATTTCATTCATTTTCAACTATGCTTTGACTGATACTTTCAGAGAGTAAAGGTAAAAACTACTGAGTGTCACTTTAAGGTTGGGTCAGTTTAAGCCACCATTAGATCAAACTATTGGACCCAGCATATTGGGTTAAAAATGGGGGGAAATTATTTATTTCGTATTTTACTGTTTACTATGACATTTTATAGGGTTTTGGATTTTATTTTTAACTTAACTATACAGCTGGGTAATTTGAACCCATTTCTAGGGTAGTAAACATAACCCAAAAAGCAGGGTCAAACCCATAAACCAACCTCTAGGTTAAAATAACCCACGGTTGGCTCGGTCCTTTTCTTACCCAGCACTTAGGTTACAAATCAAACCAAAATGGGTTATTTTTATCTCAGCAGTTTTTATTGTGAAGTCTTTAAAATATAAATATAACATAACATGAACATAATAATTATAAAACAATGGGTTTTAGCTCAGTTTGGTCAGCTAGAGGAGCACATTGATAAACGAGAGGCGTAGCTTTCAGCCGTAAATACGGAAGTGAAAACTACGGCTTGTTGCGATACATTTATGTGCCACTAGATAGTGTCAACCAAGCCCCCATAATACTGGTATGAAATTGAAGCCAACACGGAAGTGAAAAAAATTGCAGTTCCACCCTCATCCGCTGGGGGCTGGTGTCAGAAGCGAGCAAATCCTCATTGACTCCCAAGTTAACAAATACAGCAGAAATGAACATGTTTACAGCCTGGTTCCAAAACATGTTTTAGGTTTAATAGATATAGTTTACACTGATGACAACTCTGAGGGGGGTGAATTTTTTGTCACTCTTCTGTTTAAGTGTATTAAAAGCCTAAAATTCTGAATAATTAATGAGCATCAGACCCACGTGACCGCAGAGCTAGCTCCGTGGAAAGGCCTCAGTAGAGCCTCGGTCTGGCTTGGAAACTGAGCCGGGATTTTGAGTCTCTGTGTTTGTGTATTCTGTTTTGGATATTTTTTGTGCAATTGTTGGACAAAATGACTTGCTGTGGCATTAATTGCACTAAGAGTGTACAAGGAGTCTACATTTCATATTTTTCGGTAAGTAAAATTATATTTATGTATTTTAAGTCACTGCTGAGCTGAGCTTAGATTTTAACATGTACTGTTTAACCATGAAATTTAAATGTAATAGGGTAAAACCCAGTGCATTTAACATAATGCTGCACTTTAGAAAATGGGATGAAATATAACATGTTGGTGGAGCTGGGTTCCGACTATCGGTATGGTCCCCTCCCCGCAACTTGGCACATCTCTGATCGCTGCAGCGCTGTCTGCTGCACTGCTGCCAGCTTTTGGAGCTCTCGGATGGAAACCGATGTTTTCCACCCCGTTCTCCCCAGCGGCAGCTCTGCGCATCTCTGATTGCTGCGCCTGTATGCTGCGTGGCTGCCGGCTTGTGGAGCTCTCGGGAGACCTCTGTGTTCCACCTGGTTCTCCCCTCCCCGCAGCTCGGCGCATCTCTGATCGTCGCGGCGCTTGTCTGCTGCACAGGCTGCCAGCTTGTGGAGCTCTCGGGAGACCTCTGTGTACCACCCGGTTTTACCCAGCGGTCAGCCCGGCACATTTCTGTCTCAGAAGGTCTGGTGCTGTGCACAATTAACTCCGGTTGTAGCTAGGTTACCACCTCCGCTAGCTTAGTTCCCACCTCCGCGTTAGCTTTGGGTTAGCTTGTAGCTACATCGCTTCAGTTCGACGGGTGTCGTCATTTGATCCCAGCCTTACAGCCCCACTCACAGCTCCACTTCTCTTCCCTTTTTTGGAATTGTCTGGGCTTGACGGAACCTGTGGCACAGCCAAAATGGCGGTGGTGGCCACCTCCCATTTTGGCTTAGAAACGTATTACTGGAGCCTATGGACACACATTGTCCAGTATATATGTCGATGGTGCCAACAGATAAAATAAATAATCCGTAGTTTCTCTTTAATAGTCTGCAATGCATTTTTGTTCTTCAGTGAAGGGTTGTATAAATGTTCATGTTGTCCGACTTTATCCATGAGATGTTCTTCAATCTGCTCCATGTCTGCTGCTACATATCTTACGGTTTATTTATTTAATTATTTATTTTTCTTCTGTTTGAATGGCAGTGCTGTTGACAAATTTAAGGGAAGAGGCGACCTGACCGATCACAGGCTTGCACTCTCCGTAGATTTTGACAGACAGTTTAAAGTTCGCGTGTGTCTCTGCCACCCTCTATGGGCCTGCCGCATAGCGCTTGCCTCAATGGATGATGGTGTTGCATGTCTCTGCACCCCCACAAATGGAGAAGTATAAACTAGGCCTTATATGCTTTATGAAAGAGTGTTTGTCTCAAAGGAACTATGATCCATCCATACATTTTTCCCCTGCTTATCTGGGGTCAGGTCTCGGGAGCATCAGCCTGAGCAGAGAGGCCAAGATTTCCCACTCTCCAGCTAATTGGGTCATCTCCTCTGGGGTAATTCTAAGGTGTTCCCTGGCCAGCTGAGAAAAACAGTCTCTCTATCGTGTCCTGGGTTTTTCTTACGGTTGTGTCAATAACCGGTTAAAGAAATTTTGGAAAAAGTGCATCTCTAGTTTTTCTTTAGGTGTCCTACAGAATGGATGTGCCCATAACACCTCACCAGGGAGACATCCTTACCAGATGCTACCAGAAGTTACCAGATGTTACCAGATGCCCGAGCCACCTCAACTGGCTATTCTCAATGTTTTAAAATATGCTTTATGATCTGTGTTTATTTTAATAACTTTTTGGCCTCAAGCCCAAACCCAGTAACTTAAACTCCGTCTCAAAACACATCCCGCTACAGATGTGTCACACATTTTGGAGCACGTTCTTTTCACCTCTCTTTTCTGTTTTAATGGTCTAAATACTTAATATAGTCAAAAGTGGCTTTTATTAAGAAGTTAACCCAGTTCTTTCCTCAAAGGTGGTTTACAATGATGGTAACTATCTACCCTGAAACCACAGATGGTCGATAAATATACAGCCATGCTAAAGACTCAGAATTCCTTAGTGCTGACACCATGCAGCCCCAATCTAATGTACAGATAGTTATTACTATCAGGAATTATTAAATGCTTGGTGAATACCTTTATAGCAGTTCAAAGCAGAATATATAATTTATCTAATTGTTAATTATTCATTTGAGTCTTACTGAAGCCGAATGGAAGATGTGACCACCAGTATGAAAGTATGTCAAGGTGTCCCATTCCACTCTACATTTTCAGCGTTTCCACGTTTTTTGAATTAGAGTAGAGCCAAAGGTGTGAGAAGTAACAGGAGCAGGCAGCTGCATCAACAGTGTGTCAAGAAGACTTACATGTACTCTTCCTGGGTGAAGAGCGGGATAAGAGAAGGTTGAAGGACGGTGATCTCCACCAAAGTACTATTAGACTTCACTGGCTGCCCATCATCAAAGGCTATCACATACAGCTACAGAGAAGACAGAGAGGCCACATAAACATTGTATTAGAGAAGAAATTTTAAAGATTCAACACAAAAGTATTTTCATTTTACAGATCCTCTCAGATGTTCTTCTTTTCTTTAAGACAGGTTCAGCATCCTAATAAAGGCAGAAACATCGAAATAACAGGAATAGTAATAGGATTTGGTGAGAAGCCTGCAAAGCTCCTATAGACCAAGTGGATATGCACTGATCAACATTCATAGACTGTGGGAGATTGGGCAAACAGGGGTTGAAAGATAAGAAGAGAGAGGAAAAAAATAGTAGAAGAGTGTTTAAAGAGACAAGGAGGATAAAAGAAACACAAACAACATACGAAGGTAATGATTCCAAAGCACTAAGCACACAGTACTGCAACAGCATTGCTGTAAATATGAAACATGCATACACACCCATACACTTCCTTCTCCCTTTATCAGCTAAACGGAGAAGGAAGTGACGCCACCAATAGTGGCAAATCTCTGAGGACGGCTACAGTGATAGTCCAAAGGTCAACAAAAACGAGGTAAACAAGACACTTTTGATGCGTTAGAAAAGAACTGATTATTAATTTCACATGTTTCTTCTAATAGCAGACTACTCTAGTGCTTGTGTGTTCGCTCATATCCCAACCCTAACCCTAACCCTGTGTGGAAATTACATTCCCATTAAAAACTTAGAATGAGCTATTACAGTAGATTTGTATTGGTCCTCCTGTGCCACCTTCTACCCACATGGCATCCTGGGATGTTCATTTTTCCCATGGATTATATAAATAAATACAACAGAATCTATTTAATTATCCAAAAAACATGAGAAATTATATCTGTGATGCTGATTTCAACCGAGTTAAACACAATAAATGATTGCAGGCATGACATTTGAGATAAAAAATGACCTGTAGTGGAATTAGGCTTTTTTTTAATCTGTGGCTATTTTACTAAAATATTTTTACAAGCCTATACTTCTCACTACGACAATGCTGAAAGAAAGAAAACCCTCCACACAGATGCTCATCTTCTGTGCTATTTATAGTCCATGCGACTCAGTTGGAGTTCCCTAAGCACTACCTTCAAACAGCAGATCCTCTTCTTTCCCTACAAATAAACTGACGTATTTCCTCACCGGCTGGATCTGTGCGTATACTTCTGGGAAGCAGCCAGGTAACGACACAAACACAAAGAGCACGTCCATCCCAGTGTCGCCATCAACTCACCTTAAAGGTGACGCTGGGCTGCTCATTGAGGTTGACCTTGGTGATGATTCGACCCGTTTCCAACTCCACATCAAAGATGCTGCCGCTGTACGGCGACCGTTCCTGGTCCACTTTGTAGCGAACAAAGCTTGCTGGAGTGCCCTGTACGATGGGGGTGGGGGGGTGGGGGGGGTGGGGGGGGGGGGGGGGGGGTAAATAGAGTCATAAAGATGAAACAATGCTGTTTGTTTAGAAAATTAGAAGAATGTGTCTTTGAGCTTGGTTGTTCTGACCAGCAATGGATCTAAGTGGTTTTGTGTCACAAAAGACAGATTTTCCCCTAATGCATCACCACAGTCTTATCCATTTAAAAAACCCTTAGCTTGTCATAGACCTCCATTAGTCTGCTCCTCACCAAACATCATTGAATAAACCCTCTATGATTTATTCCTTCTTCCTTTCATCAAAAGTATAAAAAACTTCTCCATTAAATCCACCCTTTTAGTCCAGAGTAGCGCACGTCCATTCATTAGTGACAGTATGGACTTTAACTTGACCCTTTGATTAAGATTAATCATGGATCCTGATTACTAATAATCTCTTAATATCTCATCGTATCCCAGTTCCATCCCTCTGGACATGAAACGATGCTTTTATAAGCTTTTTGAAGCTTTGCTCTCCTACACGATGAGCATTCCCTCTCCAGGGACCAGGTGGAAACCTGAAACTAAGCAGAAAAAAAAATCTGCAGCTGAGAGATGATCCCGTGGGACGCTCACGAGCACAAATGTATTTTCAAGAGGTTACAACAGTGTCGGCGATATTCACTGAGGAGATTCTCGGAAAAATAAATAGAATTTGTGAAATTTCTGTGAATTGTTTTGTCATAAAAATGATGCCCTTGAAGGACTTTTAATAACAGTAACCATAAAAAACGTTTAATGCTGTGGCGGACCTCCTCAGTGACGGGAACCTTTGTGGTTAAGTGCTTCATTTGTGACAAAAAATACGTTGAACTTACTAAAATGAGGCAGCTCATAGTTTTTTTTTCCTTTCCACTGAAATTATTGGTTTGCCTTTTAAAACTCATATACACAACTCCAATTCTGGAGTATCCAACGCATAATCTTATGAAGTATATTGTATAATTCCTAAAATAGACTGCACACATTTAAGGTGACTGTTCCCACACAGTGCCTCATTTATGATGTATAAAAAGGAATAAAGGAGGAAAGGATTTGGGTTGCTGTGGCGTTTTGACAGTTTTTATTTGCCGTTCTACGGTTCTTCTTGCATGACATCTTATTCACAGACTATGAATATTTGATGCTCACCACTTCAGTGAACTCACTTGATTATTTACAGTGAAGGTTATCAAATAAGTTTACTCACATACATATCTTCCAGAAGACCTCAATCCTCGCCAATATCGAACAACCAGTGAATGTTTCCAGAACACGTTTTATTGATTTCTGTCTCGGAATCAGCAGGGCTTGAGCTGACCGAGTCGAAAAGATTAATTTTGGTGGTTTATTTTGTAAATGCTAGTAAAAGGCTCCTGGAATCACTTGAATACATTTCAGCAAAATTGTTCGGCTGCAGTGAGCCAAGCCCCAGAAGAAAATGACGTTTTTAGTCACAAAGAACAGGCTCCTCAGATCTTGTGCTGAAGAATAAACATTTGTTTCCATGGCAATCTGTTATTCAGAGCAATATTCACATTTAATTTATGAAACAGAGCAGAATGACAAAACTGCATTTTCCTTTTAAACATCTCTAGTCATTTTTTCTAAGGTTCAGGTGCTCTGAAGTAATCTAATCCAATCTGTAATGTGTAGTGCTGACATAAAGCAAGCTACATCCAGACTTCAAGTCAGTATACGTGTGCGGGTATGTATGAGTTAGTGCAAAATATGCACCGTGTGTATGTGTGTGCGCGCACGCGTGCGTGCGTGTGTTTGTGTGCACTCGTTTTTGGTATCAGGAAAAAGGTTATTATGGTCAATAAAAATCTTTGACAGGAAATGTAATACTTTTAGTTGTCAACCTCTTCTTATTTGTGTTCTTGCATTCCTGGATATTTTCATTTGGGAAGAAAATCCTGCATGAGACCCGGGGTGATGATATCAAGTAGGTACAAGTTTACACACACAAAAAAAGACTAATTTTAGAAACTCTGAAGGGGCAAGCAGAAGGACAGGAGTATCTGCTCCTGAGAGAAAGTGAGATGTGCAGCAGTCACTGTGAAATTGTGAAGATGTCCCACCACCCACAGCTGGAACTGACAGGCATCCGTCTCTTTCATGCTTCATGTGCGGCAGAGAGGATACAAGCTTATTTGGCCTCGGTGAGATCTCATCAGCAGGAGGGCCACTCATAATGTGCGGAGAGTCCAGTCATGCAGGACTTTATAGAGATTCAGAAAGGCTGTGAGATATTTCTATCATCTCTGATTTATCTATCGGGAAAATAAAAAATGTATGTGCAATCAATTAATTAAAATCCTAACTCAATGTGGGTGGCACTGCCTATTTTAAAAAAAGTATTGGGTGAATGATGTGGCACTAAGCAACATCAGATTTTGAAGATGACTCATTCAAGTAAAGATGCAAAAGGAAGTCCCATGATAGTCAAGGACTGAAAGCAAATGAAGACATGAACCTCCCTGTAGACCCAACGAGAGAACTTCAGTCTTAAACACATCTTTAAAACGGTGCATTTGGAATGCTGCTTTCGTTTCTTAATGTCTTTAACCTATGCTGTACACAAGGCATGTATACAATATGAATTTACGACACATTCATACTCACTGGGGGGTCTTGATCATCTGCAAAAACAGAGGTGATGACTGTTCCTTTCTCTGCGTTGGGTGCCACTAAGCCTTTATATAGGTCCCGTCTAAATACGGGAGCAAAGTCATTCACATCCTAAAAAAAGACAGAGACAATAACACATTTATGGCCCGTGTTTCTACCAAAACATCGCCACTATAGATCAAAGAAAAGCACAGAGTGTTCAATAGCATTTCTATAGAATTAGTCATGAAAAACCAGTAAAAATAAATAAATAAATAAACTGCAGCAATGCACAACTCTATTGCAACTTTCTTTGATTTTCCTTTCCAAAATGTCTCACTTTGTTAGTAAACCAGAACAAAAATTCAACAACTAACTAACAAATACTTTTATTTCACTTTCAGTTGTTGTCCACTTTCAAAATCCAGATTAATACAAGTTACAGAGCAGATGCATACAGACGTTTCAGTCTAAACTACCTAATGATGGCAAGTAGGCAGCAGTGCATAATGTCACAGCCAATTTAGATAATTGTTTAACAAATTGGTGAAAAATGTCAAAGACCAAAAAACACTCAAAGTAACACTAAATCATTTTTTAAACTTTAAGCTAGGGCTTTAACGTTGAGCTCAGTGATAGTTGGGTTAAAAACTTGACCAGTTTCATATTTGACACCACACTGTAGCCCTCTACTGGACAGATACTGCACTTAACCATTTTGTGGAGGGGGTAGGTGCTCTAGGGGTTGCTCTTATACCTGCATTACGGCTGTTAGCTGTTTGCTGTGCAGTTGGCCTTTTCAGTTAGCTGATTGTCAATAAAACGCATAAGAATAAGAAAAAGTAGAAGTTTGCTTTTTTGTTGGCATCATGGCAGAGCCTGGAACTAAAAGTAAGAGAATAATGCTAACAGCCGTAATGCATGTATAAGAGCACCCCCTAGAACAGCTCCCCCTGGTTCTGAATGACTGATTAAAGACAATGAAACATTTCACTGTAATATTGACTTGTAGGCAAATAAAAAGTCTATCTTGAGATATTTTTGAGCAGACTATTTGTTTCCAATTCTAGTCTGCTTCACTCAATATAAAAGTAAAACATGAAGATGGCGTGGCTTCTTAGTGGTATAAGAAAAAACTTCTGGGTTGCTCCTGTTTACTGGCTTCAGTTCTTTTAGTCTGCTGGTGTCAAATTACAAATGCCTGCACTGCAGCGTTAGCTCAGCGCAGATTCATCAGCAACTACAGTAATTACGTCCTGTTTTTGTTTTCTCAAAAGGAAAAAAAACACTATGTCGAGAGGAGCCAGTTGAGGTGGCTCGGGGATCTGGTCAGGAAGCCTCTTGGGACGCCTCCCTGGTGAAGTTTGTTGGGCATGTCTAACTGGAAGGAGACCCAGGGGAAGAACCAGGACACACTGGATGGACTAAGTTCTCGGCTGGCCAGGGAACACTTTGGGATTCCCCCAGAGGAGCTGGCCCAAGTAGTTTGGGAGAGGGAAGCCTGGGCTGGGCCTCTTGGCTCAGGCTGCTGCCCCCTCGACCCGACTCTGGAAAAGCAGCTGAGAATGAATGGAAAAAAAAAAACACACACAAAAAAAACGCCAGCCAATGAAGTCTGTGTCAATGTAACCTTCCTTCTAACGTGACTGAAGCTTTGAGATTATTTCACAGTAGAATTCCTACAAATTGCAGCTTTATGGAACTTGTTTCATCATCTTTGAGTTAAGGTGGAATCCGAGCTGGCAGTGAAGCACATGGACCTTTAGTTAATAACACGTGACTAACAGCCAACAATAAATCAAGCAGAAGAAACAAGACCGTTGAAGTAGGGTCGAGGTTAAAAAGTTCCAGCAACAGAGATAATGTTTGGACTAATTTGCATATCTGGTGTTTTCCACCAACACTACTTGGGCTGGTTGCCCGGGTTTATTAAGAGCTGTCCAACTAAATTAGGCAGCTCATTCAAAACAATTATTTAGATTTGTTTTTACAATGTAAAAAACACTGCATAGCTGTATACAGTGCATCAATCTATTTTGCAGGTGCACTAGGGTGAAACAGGAACACATAATGAATCAATACAGCATGCAGGTAAAGGAGGAAGACTTTTCTTTTACCATAATGTCACTTAAGTAGTGCTTTTGTGGAATTTTCAGGTCACTTTAGCATAGTTTGTCTCGTAAATAAAAATAAAACATAAATCTAACAAAATGTAAGAAAAATATTATGGAAAAGCCAGAGACAATGAATGCAAAAATGGTCTAATAGGTTGGCCATCGGATTTCACATGAGATTCTGATAAGAAAGTGCATGAGAGAGAGAAAAAAGAGATTTTCAGTGGCTTTGAATCAAGGCTGAGTTACTTTTAAGAAAAATAAAAAGTATTTAAAAGTATATAGGGGGTATTGAAAGTGCTCCATGCATAAAAATATCCACAAAATAAAAAACTGCACGATTCTGTGGTAAACACTAATATCAGCAATCAACATTTTAGCAAACACAGGAAATTAACTGACTTGTTTTATTTAATTGTTTAATTTTTTAAAATTTTTCCTGCAGCTGTGTACTGAAACATTAAATTCACATCAGATGAGATATTGCTCCAGGTCTCCTCAGGTCTACATGAAAAAAAAAAAAAGGAAACTCCTTGAGGCAATTAAACTGTTTAGATGTTATCGAGAATCAGAGGAAAAAAAACAAATTAAGGTAATTAAACCTCTAAATCTTTTAAACATCTTTTTAGATTAAGTAATAAAATGTAATTTGTTATCACAAATATGATTTGGACAGAAATTAAATCTTGGTAAAAACTTTTACTTTGACATCACAGAAGCAATAAAGTTAAATACATCTCAGGAATAACTCAAATCTGTAGAGGAAATGAGGAATTTTAATATTTCCAGGTGTTTCTCTTCACACTATTCTGGTCAAGGTCAACAACACCCCACGCTAGTAGATGTTTGCGTTTCGTGAGTCCAAGAAGAACATCTATGAGCAGTTTTACTTTGAAAAACACAGTTTGATCATTTTTACATCAAATGTTCCTCAGTGCCTGAAATGTGTGCACCAAATATGACAAAACATGTTATCTTCAACTGAGCACACACACCAGTTCATGTACAGGAGTACTCTGAGTCCACCGCAGCGAGCTTTTTAAAAGCACATCAGCAAAACTTAATTAAACAGGAACGACTTTAAGTGAGATTCTGAAGGCAACGCGCGAGAAAGGAAATTAAATCAGTCACAACAAGTCCTGAAGCTTGCATGAATCTATTAGGCTCATTCTGAGTCATTTCAAATACAGAGACAGGTTTGATATCTATGCATGTGCACCCCCTCATCCTATCAGACACTGTTTGTGGGTGACAGCACACAGAACACTACAAAGCCTGTCCTTATCAGAGGACAAATTCACACCACAGGCAGGAAAACCTGCTTCAACAAAGAACCTCCACGCCTTCCCCATGCACCCCTGGCAGCTTCATTCTGCAGACTTTGACAGGTGGACTCCTTTCACAAGCAGACAGATAATCATGCATACATTTTTATGAATTAAACAGAGAAAAACTACACATTTAATGCACACATAAAGTATCAATACTTTAGTTTGCTCTGCTGGAAATCTCTTAAAAGGCTGGAAACTGAATACAAGCTCCTGTAAAAGCTGGAATAATTGCTGCCACAGAGCTAATGAGTCATTCAGATGTTGAATAGCACCATGTGGAAGGCAGAAACACCAACATGTCAATTATTTTTGGAGTGGTGATGAAATGAGATGGGTCAGATCAGGAGACTGCAGAAGGTTTACAAAGGTAGCACATGCCAAAAATAGTGCGATTTTCTCCTGCAAGCTACGGCTACTGGGAAATTATGCTAAATACGCTTTAATTCAATAGCAGACACAGTCAGCGCTGCAAGGACGCAATGAAGATAGGCTCTTACTGTGATGCGGACTGTGATGTTAGCTTGGCCTGGTGGCATCGCCCCTCCTTGGTCGACAGCTTCCACCTGGAAAATGTAAGAGGTCCCCATGCCCATCGCTGCCAGGTCCTCGAAGTCAAAGGTCTGCAATACAGCCAATTCCCCAGTGGTAGGGTTCAGAGAAAACAGCTGCTTGGCTGATTCAGTCTTGATCCGATATGTGACTTCTGAGAAAAGGTCTGGGTCCACCGCCTGCAACAGAAGCAATGAAAATACAGAGATGAGCACAAAAAGACAACAGGGGACAGGCATGTGCAAAAAAAGAAATGATGAAAAGAGTTAAAGGGAGCTGTGAAGCCCTGCTCATACTACACTTTAAAAATACCCTCTTTGGAGTTTTCTGATTTTATTGTGTACCACGTGATTAAAATAAGTTTAACCAATAAAATACTGTAAATCCTCTAATATTAGCCTGTATTCAGTTAACTGCCGGGTATCATATTTTGGCCGGTGTCGGAGTCGGCGGAGGTGAATAATGGCCGTTTTTTTATTGTGGCCGGGTGGAATGTGGTAACAAGCAAGTACGGGGGGCGGTTGTGTCATCCGTCTCACTTTTGATTTGCCAGTGATAGACCGCGAGGGTAACTTTAACCGTGCGAACACGAAGAGGAGGCGAAAATTTGATATCAAGTTAAAAGAGAATGTGCTGATTATGCTGCAGAACACTCTGGGGAGCAGTAGGGGTTGTATGAACTAGTCACTAGTCGACTTCACCGCTCTATAGTGACTTGTTATGCCTGTCATCGACTAGTCGCTGTCACGTGATAATGACCGGCAAGATGCAGTCCACGGAAAAGACAGCAGCCTGCTGTCAGCAGGTGAAGAGCTCCTGCGCATCGGGAGGCAACGCGCTGTGCCAGAGCGTCGGTACCGACACCCGTAAAACGGACATTTAACCAAATTGTGACGTTTACCCTCTTGCAATTTAACATTCCCCTCACCCCCATCCTAACCTCATTTTAACCAGCTTGCGCATGCAAAGCTCTGATTGTTGACGCGCTCCAAACATCTGCGTCCTGAGCACGGCCACAGTAACATTATCAAATCAGGTGTCGCCACCTCAAAAACTAATTTAACACGCGGTCGTTCATGTCGGCTCATTTCCTTTTATGTTTTCTGTCTTTTATTCTTTTAATTGTTCCTGATGCGTTTCGCTGCTGTGGATCGGGGCGCATCACCTGTTTTGTCCTAGGTGACGCACCTAACTGATGTGGCCGGCGAGCACTCCGCTGTTTTTGCGGTCGGTAGATCTTTTAGAACTGCAGTTCAAAAGTAACTCATAAGGTGAATATATATGAACCCAGGTAGCAGTTTCTCTTTAAGATTGAGAGGAGATGCAGGAAGATAATAAACAGACAGGACAGAAAAATAGTCAAAAAAAAACAAGTTAGTTTTTGTACCTGGTGGTTGCAACAAACAGACATTACCTTCATTACCATTGAAGGTAATCAGAAGTGAGGAACAGAAAATGAAATAATTATTTTAATGTTTAGAGCAGCAGGAACTCCGAGAGGCTGCAGGCGCATCAGTGAGTTTGCGGCCGCTGTGCAGGGGGAGGGGGGAGAGGGTTGAAGCAGAAACTACCATTGTTAAAAGAAATGTGTTTAACTTTGAAAATGTGGGCGCAATTTTAATTGTCAAAAAGTCCAGCGAACAATTAGTTCATTTTGCTCAAATAGAAATAGAGGCCTGCCTCTAATTCTGGTCCTCCTTCCAATAAAGGCCTGGAGCTTGATGAGCTTGAGTCAAATACAGACCCGGGCCTGTATTAGAGGATTTACGGTATTTATCTTTCCTTCTACTAATGAACTGTTATCAAACCAAAGTTTGTTATTCACGTGAAAAGGTTTAAAAATATTGATGAAACAATTAACTAAAAAACTTGATTTTATTATTGTCATCCAATTATTAGTTGGATGACCTGAGCTCGAGGCTGGGGTGTCTGTGCCCCAGCTGCACATGCTCTGTCATTTGGTGTCATTCTAGTTGGAGACACAGCTCACCGCTTAATGAACCCCTCAGTACCACTATCCTTTTCAGTCATGTTTCTTTTTCTTTTGCTTGCTCACTGCCAGCTTAAGATCTATACACAACTTTATTGTACAAATACATTTCCTTTCATTAGTAATAGTTTCAATGTGAATTGAAATAGAACTGTAAACACTCAATTTATTCTGATTTTCAGCATTTTAGAAAGAGCGTGGCTTGCTGGGAAATCTGTTCCTTCCAATCAGTAATCAGAGTGCTCATGACCACAATTTTTTACCCCAACAAGAAGAACAAGTATGAACTGCACTGTACCCTTTCAAGTTACCATTACGCAGGTTAATCTTATTCATCTTACAAACTTGATCCAATTATGTAGATTCTACATATAACGAACAAGAGACTTAAACAGAGGAGCTTCGTTTTTTTCAGTCTACCTATGTAGAGGGATTTTGGATGTTTCTGTTTTCATTATTAAAAATGTCATGGTGCAGAAGAAGTGATACTTCTAATAAAAAAAGACTAGTTAAATTACAAGTCATAAAGCAGAAATCATTTCCAAAGGAAACAGCAATAAATTTGATTAAATGTGAACTAATGATGCCTGAATTATACAGTTAAAAAAATATGTATGGAACCCATAACAGATCGCATTTCTGCATACAAGAAAATGTAACACTGACAACATAATTAAAGATAATGTGTTAACATTTGGATTTTCATCACAGCCTTGCATTAAGTAAAACAGAGGACAGGATTGTTTCCCCATGCAATTTTTTCCCCCCTTTATTTTCAACCAGCAGGCAGCTGGGCAGATTTCCTTGCCTTTGAAAAGAGTTCATCAGATGAATGCACTATTCTAAAAATCTGAAGGAAAACATCAATTTCGGCAAAAGCTTGGTTTCGGCAAGAACTGTGCTTTCCATTAGGGACCATCAGACACAAGTGATCAATATTTAACTAATAGAATACATGTTGAAGAAAGACAAGATGTGAATCCAGTCCAGACTAATGATCAGAGTGATGTAAAAAGCGTTCTAACATCAAATATTTGAAATAAATCTCCAGGAAGGAAAAGATCCTGAACCCCAGTGAATAAGAGGAGAGTGTTATGGTGAAGCCACTTGGTTGTTCTGGTGTCAAGTAAAGGGTTTGCTATAAAGTTATGCAAAAGGCATGACGATTTTTAGAAATCTCTAATACAAATTCCTTTTTCTTAGTTTCAAGTACAGTACACCACCATCTGGAATTTAATAATGACCAAAATAATCCAATAAAACAGAAAAAGGTCTGCATTTGATTCATTTTACTTGCAGGTTTCCATCTCAGTTTGAAGCTGAGGTGTTGTTCAATAGGGTGTTATAGTGTCACGCTGTCACTGTCACTCAAAAGACCTCAACTTCTCCTCCTCCCATCCCTCTCTCTTCTCACTCTCCCTACCTCCTGCTATATCTCCATCTGTGAGATGTCACTCACAAAACGCCAACAATTACTCGCTCCTTTGCTCGTGTTTGATCTACATGCACTGGGTTTCTCCATATCTCACTTCAGTGCAAACATGAGCATTGATATTTGATAGCGTTTAAGTTAAAAGAAAGGGTTTCTGGTTCCTTTGTATTCTCTTTAAGCCCTTACATGGCACTATTTTGATCTTTTCCACTGCAAGATGAATTCTCTTACAAAAAACCGGATGTGATTCAACAGAAAACAGCTTAAGGCACATGTGTCAGACACGAGGCCCGCGGGCCAGAGCATTTTTATGTGGCCCGTGAGATAAATATCAAAAATATATTAAAACTTTTACCGCAAAGACTACAACTCCCATGATGCTTTGTGGCGTTAGCACTGAGCCGAAGCGCCCCATCCTTTGTGTTTTTTCCAGCGTCTGCTGCCGGTGTCTGCAGCTCCGCTGTCTCGGCCAAACTAAACACTCCTCTCACTCAGCGCCGAGTTTACTCAGCTATTTTCTGACGTTGAAGCCCAGAAACGGAGATTTTAACCGCTCAGTGATGTGTTCACGACTGAAAGAGAAAGTTTTCCAACTAACTTCCAGACAGAGCTGATATAACTCCAGTGAGCAGCGACACGCTCAAACCAGCATGACTCTGTGGTTGCTGTCGTGTTTCCTCCCCGACACACAACAACATGGTCAAGCTGCTCAGACATGTTCAGCAGCACGAACCTATGTGAGCACCTGTTGTCATCTAATGTTGTCATTATTATGATGAAGATGAACAAAACGACAGGAGTCTCCTCCTCAGCTCAGGTCAACCCCATGATGCAGGTATCTGGCTCGAACAGGTGAGCATCACAGTAAACCAGTGGAGCAAACTGAGCTTTAAATATGTTGGTTTTATGCTCTTTTTCTGCTCCAAAACATGAAAGTTAACAGGTGAGATGTTGCATTTTCATTATAGATAAAATTAGATTTTTATTTTGTTGTTGGCACGTGAGAAAAGATTTAACCTACAGTAAACAGGAAAGGCTGCAGATAGATGAATAGAATAGAAAATCCCTTTATCGTTCCTCAGTGGGGAAAGCTAGACGTCACAGCAGCGATGACACTTATTACAGGAGGAAAAAAGGAGAATAAAAAATAAGAAAAATGAATAAACAACAAGAAAAAATAAATCCTGAATAGATTTAAAAATGCTGATTATACCACAAGTAATGAATACCACTGATGCCTTTTATTTCAAACTGACTTGCTCGTGTGTAATTTGGTTATCCCACATTCAGTGTTAATGCAAAAATAAGTTTGTTTCCAAATTAAAGGGTTCAAAATTGCATATAAGTTGATAAAGGAAATGTGCAAATTTGCCGTCAATTTTTAAAAAAATATAAAGTTTGGCCACGACTTTGTCCCAGAGTTTCATTTCGGCCCAGTGTGAATTTGAGTTTGACACCCCTGGATTGTGTCCTTTATGTCTGAAAGGTGCCCAGAGACGTGCCAACGGAGGAGAGTAAAGCTTTCCAAATGGAAGCTTTTCACCTTTTTACCATACTTTTAAGTATGAGGTTTTAAAAATGCTTAAAGCATTTTATTGTGCTCCACAAGAAAAGGGAAAAAAGTTGAATTGAAAAATAAAACTTACAGTTAGATTCAGAATCACGGTCCCTACTGGGCTGTTTTCAGGTACATTCACTATGTAGTTTTGCTGTGAGAAGACCGGACTGTTGTCATCTATGTCCAGAACTCGTACTGAGACGGTCAGCGTAGTTCGCCTGGGGTCCACTGCCCCATCTGAGGCCTCAACCACCAGCTCATACTGGCTCCGTGTCTCCCTGTCGAGTGGCACTTTAGTGTAGATGCTTCCATTGATGGTTATTATAAACAAGTCAGGATGATTGACAATCCGGTAGTGAACCTGGCCGTTTAGTCCCGCATCAGCATCTGTAGCCTGAGGAAAGAAGAAAAAAACAAACAAGATGAGCAAAGGTAAGGTTCAAGATCAAATTTGTTTACTTTGAGCAGGCAGAGGCACATCTCAACCTTTTAAATTGGTATGAATGATAGATTTTCTTTGATCTAGGTTTGAGTCGCCTGATATGAACCAGTTAGAAATTGGATGGTTTTTAAACACCTATAAGCACAGGCTCTTAAAGTAAAGAATTCAACCAGGATGAGGAGTTAATTTCAACAGCAAATACTTTCTATTGGCCATTTTATTGGAGATATGGAGTCAACGAAGATAGTAGGTTATACATGCAAAATCATTATAACACTGGTCATTTTTTCATGTAACAGAAACAAATTATTTGGAAGACTAGTTTGAAAAGAGAAAAAAGGAAAACATTGCATTGACTTGTGTAAATAGCATCTATAAGTGGATGTGAGCAAATATATATTGGCTTTTTGTAACGCCTTCCATATTTACATAGACTAAAATCCTGTAAGCTTCAGTGATGCAGACAAACAAACAAACAAACAAACACATAAACAAACAAACAACACCTTAGGTTCCCTGCTGAACAAAACAGCAAATGTTGGTTTTGGTGCTGGTTTAGCTGGCAAACCTGCATACAATGCTGGTCCAACAGAACAGAGGAAAGAGCCGCAGCAAACTTTGCTTCAGACGCCATCTTTGTTGTTTATGAGAAACACGACATAGCTGGCTAGGCTACATTGGTGATCTTCGCAGTCCTTACACCCCCAGCATGTCCCTTAGGTCCAGTGACCAAAGCCTACTGGTTGTGCAGCACCAGGCTAAAGACCAAAGATGACTGATCATCTGCTGCTGTGGCCCCCAGACTCTGGAACTCTCTCCCCCTGAGATCAGTGGACTCAGTGGTCTCCTTTAAAATGCAGCTGAAAACTCACCTGTTCAGGCTGGCTTTTGCGTCTACTCTTTCCTTACTCTGCTCTTTTTACCAATTACACCCTTCGGCTGATTTCCCTTTTTCTTATTCATTTTTTCTTAACTTAACTCATTCTCTGCCAGCCATTTCCTGATCAGTAAAGCCCTTCACTGCCAGCGTTTCTCGCCATTTTTACGTTTTTTTAAGAGTCACAGAACGTTGTGTGCTAGGATGATGTCAACGCCAAAACAGCCAAAACAACCAAATCAAAGTGGAGATTCACCCCTTACATCAGAAAAAAATTGTGCGTTTCAAGCTTTATCCGTTCTTTCATAATCCATTGTTGAATTGTGATCACCAGACGCTTTTCTGGTTCACGCCTCACTTAGTTTTTACAGCAGCGGCCCAAAACAATCTCCTAACACATGGATTTTCTGTTTCCTGATCACGTGAAGTGTGACATATGCGGATGAAGATCACCTTTAGAGCTGAGATGTTTGTTCACATGGTGTGGGGGCTAATTCCGATGTCCACACAGTAAAAAAAATGCTTTTGACGACTTAAGTCGTCAATGGCAGTGAATGAGTTAAAAAACAGTGAAAACACTGAAAAACGCTGGCAGCGAAGGGCTTTTCTGATCAAAAATGAAAGTAAAAATCTCACACATTGCTCCTTTAAATGATAAGATTATTAAATGAAATACATACAAATGAATTACTGACAAGATGCTCATCTACGTGGCTACAAAGGGATTCCTTATGATGCCCTACAGCGGACTCTAATGAAAGCTCCCATGGATCTATTGGCCACATTTACAGTCTAAATACGTCCCCTGAGACTCAGCAGTGTAGGTTTATATCTTGTGGGGTTTGTAAGTCCCTGATCAACCGCAGTTATTTATGATAACAAGGTAAATTGCCTCGACTTTCTCTTTGTGTGTGTGTGCGTGTGTGTGTGTGTGTGTGTGTGTGTGCGTGTGTGTGTGTGTGTGTGTGTGTGTGCATAAAATAAGAACAGGTGGAAACCAGTTCAGATGAGTGCAACGATAATCCAAAACACTTCAAGGATAACATTAAGCTACTTAATAGCATTATGCATTCAATCAGCAATTGTCTCCACCGTTGGCAGCTGCCTGAAGTGTTGTGGCTGGCTCCATTATGACTTCCACCCTGCAGGTGAATTCGAGGCAGCACTGGAAAAGAGCAAGCTGATTTTACCATAGCATGAGATTTAAATATGAAATGCTTGAATGGACACAAATAGCAGCTTAATTCCAGCACTCTGTGTCTCATCCGTTCCCTCTTCTGTCACTTGGACTATTACTTAGCGTGTCGCACAATCGTGAGCTTTAGGCTACTGTTTTGATTGGAACGAAATCTGTTCAGCAAGACAGAAGATGCTCATCACAAGATGTTATGCAGGCCTGGGGAAAGAGAACTAGTAGTTACTGATCATTTGTCAGCCTATCAGAAGGAACTGATGAAATGTAGAGAAATGCTCACTATACAGTAAATGGTGCAAGTTAACTGACAAGGAAAAGGCTTCACAACTTGGCACTGACTAATTTAGGAGTGTGCCCCAGCTGACAATGGAGCCGTACCAAGGACTGTAGGAAGTCTTTCTTCCTCTCTGTATTAATGCGAGACAGAAACATTTAACACCACACTTCACAGCTGAACTATCTATGAATCTAGTTTATTTAGAAGCTTCCTCCCAAGGGGGACTGATCTCCCCAAATGCTGCGCGATGAGCACAATGTCTTAAAATGCAAATCTGTCCTCCCTGTGTGAAAAATGGAATATGTCCTTGGAAAAAAAAACATGTCTCTTCACCATGAAAGGATTAACACAAGGCTACAAGACAGAAACAAAATAGGAGATATTCTAGACAGACAGAAATAACAGTTAACATAAATTCAGCAGCTTTTAGTCTGCTGGTGTTCCTCTGTCTCAGCCAGCCTGGCAAGCCATCCTATATATGTGAATATATAGTCTGGCCACCACCCGTGGGGTGGGATCTACTGTTGTTTGTCAAACTGTCTCCACATGCTATTGGACAACAAACTACATCATGTACTCACTGCTACAAACGTTGGTCAATGGGGCAGTCCACCATACACTGCCAAAGAAGAAACAAATACATCCTTTTTCGAAATATAGCACTTAAGTACCTCTATTTGCTCTTGACTCAAGGAAAAGCCCAAGTCTAAATAGTCCAAATCTTATGCCAAAGCCATTTAAAACAAGCAGTCACCATCTTTGTTTTGCTCAGTCGCAGTAACATACCGACCACCAAATAGATGGAGAGCTATGACTGGCCCACCAAACAGATTGAGCACTGTGATTGGCTATACAAACATATAAAGAGCTGTGGTTGGCCAGCCACCAGAGTAATGGGGACTGTGGTGGTTTTAATGGAGCGTGGCTAGACTGACATGTGGAACAAAGTAATTTTGCTTCGGCAACTGAAGGTCTAGATTACTTGGCGCAACAAAATCTCAAATTTTCTTCTTCCTTCCTTTTGTCTAAGTGGTGAGGTTGTTATAAAAAGACCAAATTATTTGGGATAATCTAATATTTGATCTAATATCATCTAATTTGTGTGTATAATATTGTTTTCATACACTGTGCTTACTGAAGTTTATGAAACAGTTGTTCTCTGAACAAAAAGCCATACATTCTTGATCAGTGATGACAAGCTCCACTGCAGCCTCGGTCTGTGCATAGAGAGCAGGATAGTATGAAGCTAAGTACGTTAATGTTCTTTTCCTTTTTAGTCAGATTCCCAGCTCAAGGTGGCAAGTTGCCAGCTCAGAAAACCCTTCCAAAGCGGTGCAGAGGGAGAGAGTTTGCATACTGGACTAAGCTTCTTTCTAGCTGTTAGCTGCATTTCTGAGGGAACACGGTGAAGGAGACTTGAGCAGGCTTTAAAGCATGCAAACACCAAGATTCCTCCATGTGTCATTTAGTCCTCCTCTATTCTTACGTTTAGTTGTTGTTTACAGGACACCCCCTTATATTCTGCCAAGAACCCAAACTCTTGGATAATACAAAACAGAGTAAGAGTACCAAATCAGTTTATGTTTAGGGGAAGAAAAGGTAAAGATATACAATTCTATGTGTTTCCCACAATATTTTCTGCCAATTGTGAACTCAGAGGTGTTCCCATTTTGCAACATACTTTTGCAGGAATGTGCTTCTTTCAGACTTTGAAACACTATCATACATCCTCCAATTAAGATTAGAAATGTAAATGTTAAATGACCTACACTTGTATATAAGGTGATATACAAAAGGAATCCCTTTACACAACTGTGTTCTTCCCATTCAGTCACACATTCATACTCTGATGGTGATGAGCTACAACGGAGCCACAGCTGCCATGGGGCGCACTGACGGAGGCGAGGCTGGTCCCTACGACCACCACTAGAAGGCAGGGCAGGTTAACTGTCTTGCCCAAAGACACAGCAGCAGATTCCTCTGCTTTCCAGATCACTGGACAACCCGTTTTACCTCCTGAGCTACTGCTGCCCTGGTTTGGCTTGCTTTAGCACCCCTAGTGTCCCTTTAGTAGAATCAAAAGCAAAATCTGCATTTTGCATCTCTTCCCTGTGCGTTCGTCTTTTTAACACATTAATCTAACTGCAAAAATTTCTCCCCAGCCTCCATTAGTGTCTACAGGAGTGATTCGTCACTACATGAAACAAATCAGCTGTGTTCATGATCTAAAACATGCAGGAAACATGCTAGAAGCAGACTCCAGTGCCAGGCATACCAGCTCCTTTTTTCTCATCTCTCTCTCCATTTTGTGTGTGTGTGTGTGTGTGTGTGTGTGTGTGTGTGTGTGTACACAACACACACATAGAACAAAACCAATAACAACAATAACAATACTATTAATAATCATTGGATTTACTCTTGAATCTGTCATGATTATATGTTTGACAGAGGATGTTGGCTCTCATTAATGAATCCAGGCCAGTTAACCCACTTCAGTAATGAGAAAAATCTGGCTGAGTAATGAAGCTTAGCTGAAGGCGCCAACTGGGAAGCAGCTTTGGATAAAGCTTGTTGACTGGGGCCAGGCAATTGGTAATGGGCTCCATCAACACAGAGTGTAACACATGTTGACATGAAGTAAAGGTGATCAAATATATTATCATTATGCAGTAATTTGATTTAAAAACCAATACATGATCATTATCGTGAAATATTCCACTCACCATGACTTGTCCCACGAACAGATTGGCCTGTTCCTCTCGGACGGTAAAGTTAGTTGTCATGGTGACGTTGAACACGGGGTCATTATCGTTGACGTCAGTGACCACGATGCTCACGGTAGTAGTAGATGTCTTAAAGAAAACAAATCAAAAGAAAAACATTTAAGCTGTTGAAACTTACTTAATGCAGAATGCACACTGTAAAAAAGTTAAGCTCATTAAAAACAATCAAATACATCAACTACTATCTAAACCAATTCTACTTTTATATAATTACAAGTTCCTTGTTGGAAAATAATTGTCTTCAAATATTTTATATGCATCAATAATAATTATCAATAGTTATTAAAAGGAGGAAAATGATCTCAATTATCTGCTTTGGGCAGAAGGGAAATGTAACATAACTTTACAAAATATGGGAGGAATTTTCTGTAATTAATGTAAAACTGTTCCTCATGAATTACAGCCAAAATTGTTTTAGAAGCTGTGATTTGAATTTAACAAGATAAAATGTCTACTTAGTGTCTATTAAGTGTTACACAGAGAAATCAGGGAGATAATTATTACTAATAGAATTGTGAATTGCAAACATATGATTGTACAACAGATGACAGTTGAAGTCTTCATTTGTGTATGAGTGTCCCTGTCCTTTATATCCATGTCGATTCCCAAACTGATAGCATGACATTGAAAATCAAATCCAAACCATGTGTTTCAAGCCTCCTTGCTCATCCTAACATGGAAGACTTCTTTACTGCCTGCCTTCTGGTTTGAGGTCTTCATCTCATACTACAGACATTTTTTTATAAGCTGGAAAAATGATCTTTGCATTTTAAGTTCTTTGACATCAGTTGACTGAAGCAAGAAATGTAGAAGTTGCTGCCAATCAGTGCTATGTGTTGGAAGAGAGTGGTTAACGGAGGATTAAACGCTGAAGTTCTCACCAGAAACGACAGCTGTATCATGCTGCAGCACATCCTGCAAAATGCATGGATAAGTCTTCATTTAGCGTAAATGTAAGCAGAAATTTAACTTCATAAAATGCAGAATCCTTTGAAATAAAATGATTTTTAATTGTCTTTTTGTGGCAAATTAAACAAAACAAAAAATAAGCAACCAACTGGCTGCTTTCATAGACCCAAATAGACTTTCAACATGAACATATATTTTATGTAAATTTTGTTGACTGTAAATATATATTAAAGGAGCTTTTTAGCATGTAACCCCCAGACCCGTTTTTGGCTGCATTCATGTGTTTTGCTGTTTCAGCTGCAAATTTAGAATTTTATTTTGAAATTCCTAAAACAGCCAAATGTTTAACTTTGTATGTCACTCTTACTTCCCGGAAGCTAGTCTCTGGTCTGAAACCTGTCTCCCCAACAGTGTTTTATTTCCAGGTACAAATTCAAGCTGGCAAAAATAACTAATATTTTAGATAAATGTCATCTCAATAGTGCCAACAGTAATAGTTTATTGTATACTGTCTGTACCTTTGCTCTCAATAGCATGATCAGGAACCTTTAAAAGAAACTCCGGCTATGAGGACGTGTATGCCCTAATAAGCCACAATTTTTCTGTTGTACCAAAAATGTTGTTAGAAACACACAAAATATTACTGTTTATTTATAAATCTGTATTATTTAGTAGATTTTTGGACATACGTAGGACGGCATGTTTTCTGCACGCAATGCATTCTGGGGCAATGGCGTGTATTGGTTGCACTTGGAAGAATAGCTATTGATGCTAGTGTTTGTTTACGCACTCACCATATTAATAATTAAGTAAAATGCTGCGTTGTGCTGCTTTTGGATGTAATTTCCAGTCAGAGGGCAACAAGTGGAGTGATGTGAGTTAACACAGCTTTCCCAGAGGCAAGAAGAGGAGAAAGCAGTGGGAAGATGCCTGTGGACGGACACAACTTCCCATAGATCCACGACTGTGTTCCCAACATTTTTTTCCTGATGCGTTTGAGGCTTATAGTCGACCACAACGACTTAAAGAGTTCACCAGAGAGGCTGGTTATAAGAGAAGGTGGAAACTAAATCTTTACCGACCATTTCCCCACACAAGGAGCCTAAACACCCTCGGAGAGACAAGAGACGCTGGACGCTCTCCTGAGCCGACAACCCGCTCCTGCAGCTGCTGCTTCTGTCACGTTCAGCGAACCATCGGACACGCCACTCGTCACGGATGAAGCTGAACGTTCACCTCGCCCGTCAGTAAAACAAGCAGTAAGTGTAGCAATCAGGCCCCCACAATGCGGCTTTAAAATTGAGGCCAACCCGGAAGTGAAATAAATTGCAGTTCCACCCTCATCCACTAGGGGCTGGTATCAGAAGCGAGCAAATCCTCATTGACTCCCATGTTAAAAATGCCAATTTCACAGCAGAAATAAACATGTTTACAGCCTGGTACCAGAACATGTTTTTGTTTAAATTATCTAGTTTACACTCATGACAACTCTGAGGGGGGGGGGGGGGGGGGGGTGAATTTATTTCTCACTCTTCTGTTTAAGTGTATTAAAAGCCTAAAATTCTGTATAATTAATGAGCCTCAGACCCACGTGATCAAAGAGCTAGCTCCGTGGAAAGGCCTCAGTAGAGCCTCGGTCTGGCTTGGAAACTGTTCTGGGATTTTGAGTTTCTGTGTTTGTGTATTCTTTTTTTGGATATTATTTGTGCAATTGTTGGACAAAATGACTTGCTGTGGCATTAATTGCTCTAATAGAGCGTCCAAGGAGTCTCCACTTCATTTTTTTTTTGTTTTGTGAAACATCGTCAGTGATTTCCTCATTAATGTTTCACTCTGGTTCAAATTGAAAAGGCTGAACAGATGACATGTTGATGTCGCTGAACAGTCACTACAAGATCCCAAAGCCGTCTGGTGCAACCGAGGAACAACCATGTGACGTCACTACTCCGAGTGCATTGCGAGACTAACAACAATGCATGGTTTAACAATGGCGACCTACAAGTTTTAATAATTTTTAACAAATTTCATACAAAGGAAGACATCAAGAAGATTTTTTACACCATTTCAATATAACAGATACTAACATTAATCTTTTAAGAACCACAAAGTTTTGTAACCTGGGTTCCTTTCAAGTGGTTTCTTTGAGAAGTCAGATGTCCCATTTGAAAATGGTTTAAACATTGTTTTCACAAATTCCATCAGTGTTTGATGTAACCACACTGTCCAATGTTTTCATAGAAAATTTCACTTTTTACATGAAAAAAGAGAAATACAGCTGCTGCTGATGTGAAAATTTAAGTTTAAACTACTTCATGTAACATATGAAGCTCATCTCTATTCAATTTAGGTGAAAGTTTGATTTGAAAATGCATTAATGACATCTATCCTGTAAATACAGTACAAGGTTGTAAACTGAATGCAACAGAAAGTAAAAGCTCCATCCAATGTGCTCTTAAATCAACCAGATAGTTTTAAATCAAAGATCTGACACACCGAGGAAGCAGACGGGAATTATTCATCAAACTAGCTGCATTAACTCAACGCATTGGATGACTGCATAACCATAAAAACTGTTCTGCTCAAAATATTGTCCTGTTTCTTACAGTGAATAAAATTATATTAACAAATGAGTAATTTTTAATCAGTTTCTGATTAGTTTTTTTTAATCTAAATAAAGCATTTGATAAAAACAGATTCTCCTCAAACAACTTTACTTCCTGCTTACTTTTGAAAAAAAAAACAGATTCAATCCACCCGCATCCACACAGAAAATGGATAAATGAGAATTTAGCTATTACACAAACCTATCCTCCAGAGAAGTTCAGTTGCCAAAAACATTTGTGTTTATGTAATAATAGATCTTTTATTGTTGTTGATTATTATAACTTGGTACATATAAAGATATAAATGCTGTTGTTGCCATTTCCCAGTTAAAGTCGGTTTCTAGTGAAACACGAAGCTCCCTACCAATCTTTAGATTTTGTGATGACATCATCATTTTTCATTTCACAGCGAACGTCAGGCCAATTAGGGTCACCACTCAAGCCTGAGTGTTGTTACCACTGCCAAAAAAGATCCCAACTCTGCAAACCTGAATGTGATTAATGAGCTGCTATCATTTATTTAGCATAAAACAGATGAGGCACTGTGAAGTGTCATCTTCAGAGCTAACAGTCTGTGAGCTGCAGAGGTGGCTGATGACGTTTTGCTTTTAAGTGATAATCCTGACCAGAACCCTTATTGACAGGACTGATATGATCTGGCTATTAGGGAGTTCTGTACTCCTGCTCTTGCCCACCGTGGGCCATCCGGCACATCGGGGTGAGATTCTGCAATCCAACTCCGCTTGGCAGGTTTGATTAAAGGTTGAACTGGTGAGAATACAAATTTTGTTATGTGTCCACCAGATGAGGACAAACTGTATTATGCAGCAGATGATGCAAGAGTTGATATCATGAAAACGTTATGCATGCATGTGTGCTTGGAAAAAGTGTAAGTGAAGCTGCACAAATGGAAGCTGGCTTTCTTCGCTTTGTTTGACTCTTGGTTATCAGACCTTTGTGCAACTAAAAAATTCAAATCACTGTTTTGTTACAACTATACACAAATGTTCCTTATCTCTCCTCAGTATTTAATTTTATGATGGAATTTTAAAATATAAAGTGATGAATACTATGGGTGTGTCTAAATTCAGGGGCTGCATCCTTACCCGGAAGACCAAGGACCTGACCTACAGTAGACTTGTATAATCTGAAAGGTCTAGCCTACTATCCTAAACAGAGAATGGAGCTCCAGATTTAGCCTAGCTTTTGATTTACTGTTCTTAATCCTGAAGGAATTTTGACTCTACCTAAATGAGAGCTCTGTTAAAATGACTTTAGAATGTAAAACTATTTTTGTTTACATAAAACACTTTTAAAGGTTGAAAATGGAACATGAACACAATAGCGACATCAACTGTATTGAGGTTGTAGTTGCAACAATAGAACAAGGATTCCAGTCGTCGGGAGACCAGGTCAGTGCTGCTTTTGGCGGGAATCTTAGTCTTAGTCTTTATGACAGGGCTTTTCTATTCCAGGTCTCGTGCTCCGGTATCCAGCACGTTTTAGTGGCTTCTCTGCTCCAACACACTTGATTCAGTGGTTGAATAATGTGCAGTA